ACTAATATTGCCATATTCTACAGAATGTTCTCTTAATTTTCATATAAGACTTAACTTCTGCCAAGAAAAAACCTTTTCTCAATTTTTCAAGTGGATGTCCTTTTCTTTGTGTACACATAATTTGTCCACATTTTGAAGACATGTACATTATTTTAAGCATTCTGATGTTTTCAGAGACAGCTGCAGTAGTCATTTTCAGCTAGCTCTAGTATTGGCTCAGTACTAGCCAGGGTAGTAATATCATGTAGGTTTCTCTTAGGAGCTTGGAGGCTACTTGCCCATTCTACAGAGCATGTCCTACAGCTGCTGACATATTTTATTTTGGTTAGTACTAACTTACAATACTAGTTCAGTTTAAGAGCCTAATTACAAAGGATTTAGAAGCAAAACAGTTTTACTGGAAACAAGAGTGAACACTATAAATAATGAGTACGTAAAAAGAAGCATTCGAACAAAAATAGCTTGAATTTCCTGAATGCTCAGCATTAGTCTTAACTCTGCTCTACTCATGTCAATAGGGACAAAAATGCCCACTGTATCTTATTTTAATCCCCTGTGCTCCCACAGTAAAATCCAAACCAGTGTTCTATTTTCCCGAGACACCTTATGTATCTCCTAAATCTAGCACTGTAACTCATACACCATATTCAGTAATCTTTGCTTCTTGTATAAAAAGATGTTACACTGGTTTGATGGAAACACTACTGCTAACATTTTTTCTGTGTTACTGGAATTACTTTGTAATGTTTCATATTTACTTTTGAATTATTTTTAAGTCTGATGACTAGCAGTAGAACATTGAACAGCCATCAGGCACCTTACTTTGGGAAAAGTTCCATTTTTGGTACAGTGCCCCACTATCTACCATATATACATTTATTTTAGAAGTGAATATATATAACCAAAAGCAACAAAATTCTCATTAGAGATGATCCTGAATATTATTGTTCACTAAAATATTTTAACAGCTTCAACAAAACAACACTGGATATTATTTAGCTTTTTTTAATGTAAACAGAAATAAGTGACAATATTGAAGAAATATACATTGGAAAGTAACAAATGTGAAATTCCATAACCAATTCTTTACCACTTTCTGTGATTAGACAAACATATTTCATTCATTCAAAACAAAACCAAAAACTTGCCTAGGGAAGCCACAGAAGTAATTTAAAAATACCCTGTATCTGATTTAAGAAGAAATTAAAGTGATCATACACTTCCATAAAAAAACCTATATTTTTTATTTTCTTCTCATGCAGATTGTTACTGTAAAAAAAAAAAAAAAAAGTAAAAAAAAGCTTATTTTTCCTTAGCCTCCCAGATTCTTCCAATCAAAAAAAAATTAAGCCAACCAACACAAGACAAAAGTTTTCAGGGTTATTCTCATGCTTAGTAAATATAACACTGCACAGGAGATGGAGATTAAAAATAGCAGTAGGTCCTCACTCTCAGGGCAGTTTTAATTCAACCACAGAAGATGCCTTCAAAATTTCTTCAGAATTTAATCATGCACTTTGAATTGTTTGAAATTTTCTATTACAGCAATTCAAAAGGACACACCAGACAGAGATACAAAATGGTCTTTGTCTGCCTGCAAACACTGGAATTCATATATTTTTTTAAAGCAAAAAGAAAACCAAAGCAAGTCTCTGACTAGTTTTATACCTGGCACTTAATATCCTGTAGACTATCATCCACCAAATTTCAGTCTGCCAGGGCAATTAAGAGCTATAAGGAACTGGAATGTTCCCAGGTACCATTAATTCAAAGATGCTGAATTACACATGTAATATACGGATAGGCTTCCCAAATCCTCAACTTGCTATGCATGAGCAGACAATGAAGTACAGCTGTGGCATGACTAAGCCACCAAACCTTCCTAATCACAGTTGATACTAACACCATTTTTTATTCAGAAAAACCCTGACTACATTCAACCTTTTGAGAACGCAGCATAGACAAAGAGATACACCATCATCTTTGGTATTACTAAAGTCACAAAAATTTACAAACATGTGCATACGGCCTAGAAGAACTCCTCTATATAAAGGAGGAACATAGGAAACTAGGGAGAGCAAGAGCACAGAAGCAAATGTTTTCTGCCTTCTAGACACAAAGTTTAAGATTTTGGAAATACCGTCTAAGAAGCAGGAATCACAAAAAAGGATTCAGTGACATACTCTCTACTTAAATAACATATTTTTATCTTTTTAGCTGAGCATCTGAGGAATTTTTTTTGAACGGGTATAAACCTAATGAACAGGTTTTAACTTCAACATAAATTAAACCCCTAAACTATTCTAAAATTAATAGTTTTATTTGGGGGGAAAAAAAAAAGAAAAAAAAAGAAAAAAAAGACAAACTATTTCAAAACAGGCAGAAGTTCCTCTAAAAGTATTTTACTTACTCATCTTAGATCTGTTTCTACTTGCAACATTCTTCAGGCTTATTAAGTTTAAAATTCAGGCTGAGATCAAAATTACTATTACAAAGAGCCAACAATTATTATCTGCTGTGAAAATAAACTGGCTTGTGCGTAACTTATGAAAAGCAACAAATGGCCAAGTAGGGGATGCTCAAACAAGGAACATGAGGCTTTGTTGCTCACTTTGTTTCTCCACCTCAAAGAATGCAATCAACAGAAACTGCAAGTATTTCTCAAGTAATACTCTGCACAGAAAAATTTGTCCTGGGAAATAAAAGACATGTATGACATACCTATAAACCACAGAGGCCTATTTTAAGATGCTAAGTCAAGGTCTTGGGATTTCAAAACTTGTCTTTTGCACAATTTTACATTAATGAAGACCCTCCACATTCCCTGTGCTCCTAGATACCATTCCAATTACTAATGCTGCTCAATCACTTCTTCTTTTTCCCCAAAGTTCTTGTAAGAGACAAAGTTGTTTAAAATTGCATAGAGCCAACGTTCCTGCAATCAACTAAAAGACGTATTTCAAGCACAGATGGAAAAGCAAACTAAAGAGTGAGATAAAGTATAAATTCAGCAGGTTTGCTTTAAAGTAAAAAAACCCTTTACTTCAGAAATACCAAGCAGTACCCATCATCCACTGCTTTTTGTTTAGAATTGCAATGACAAAGAATATCAGTATTTGCTTAAAAGAAAGACATTTCCTGTAGACCAAGCAAACCCTTAACAGGTAAGGAAAAGAGAAACCTGAGAGCCAAAAGGGAAAGAGTGGATCATTCCATTGGTTTCTTTTCTTAAACATGAACTACCTTTAATTAAAGAAGGATCAACTTACGCAACTGACACTGACAGAAGTACAGCTGTACTGCCCTTAGGTACACTACTGGACTGGTTACTATGGGAAAGAACTGTAGTCAAAATGCATACATAGGCTCTGCCATTTTGTCTGCACCAAGTTCAGAACGCTGAGATGCTGCAGTTTATAGATCTCGATGGATAAAGCTTGCACTGTATATTGATAACCAATTTATTTTTTGCCAATAGTACTGCTTCTAACAAAATAGAAATTAAGATTCTCCAAGAAACAAATGGTTCTGGTTCAGTAATTCCTAATCAACATTTCCTCAAAAACACCACATGCCTTGAGTTAGGTACCCAGTTCCCAAATTTCCAATATTTATCACGAATTTCTCTTGTCCTGCACAGCTTCTTGTAAGAACTGAGCTAAAGGCTAAGTCTAATCTAAGCGTACAGTCCCAACTATTCATGCTGTCAAACCAAACAGTGGAAGACAATATGCTTTCGTATTCTCTGGACTAAAACTACTGCTGAAAATTCCCAGACTAATAACAAGTTGTATACCAAATATCAAGAATTAATTCAGCCCTTTAAATAGACATGAAAAGGAAAAGAAAAATCAAAATTACATACCTTAACAGTTTAGAAATAAACTTCTACCTAACAATGCTATAAGTTGGATGTTCTTACCATGGCTACATCATTGATAAACAAATTTTCTCATACTCTTAACTCCAGTCACCAAGGAAAAACTCAGCCTGAATTCTACAAAGACTAAAAATTATGCCATGAGAACAGAAAACAAGGAGATAAGCCTGCACTGCATCGCAGAAAAAGCAATTGCCACCACATATTTTTGAACACAATGTTGGTAGGATATACGCAGATAGATGAAGCAGTCAAACTTGACCTATATCCACATATTAGAATGAGGTGCTGTTTGCAAAAATAAAGAATTCCCTAAGCTGATCCGTACTCACAGTCACATCTAGACAGATCCTGTTACATTCTGGACCAAGGCCACTGAAAAAAAAAAACAAGTGTAACATTCTCCTTTTATAATGGGGAAATCTGCATCCTCATACACCTCAGTCCACAAAGACTGAGAAAGTGAAAAAATTCCCACACACTTACACTAGAAGTTTGCAGGAAGTCCTCAACTACTTTGTCTAAACAGTACATGGTACAGGAAAGACATGGCGTGTCCTGAAATACCCAAGTCTTGACAGACACTACCAACACAGCAAATAACCGCTAGGGTCAGACAGCTTTTTTAAAATCCCCACTCTAGGAACTTATCTGCTGAACAAAAGTTGTACTTAGTCCAAATTCACTGGAAAATGTCACCTTACTATATAAATACCAGATTCAGCACCCAGAGTCTACAGGAATCTAGAATTTCTTGGCCTCAAGTGCCTAAACTGTACTGTCAAAATAAACACCACATGTTGCTGCTCCTATTTAACAGAAAAATTCAGACCCCAACACATCCTCGTCCACGGTAATACAAGAACAAAAATATGGGATCTTGCCAAATCCATCACATATTTGTTCACAAACATCTACATTTGCACAGAATAAAGTACTGAGCCACACTCCGATGAGTAAGGAAATCTGCACCTTTTTAAATCCTGGCTCTAAAGACCTTGGAAAGGTTAAGCCTCATTTTCTCACTAAGGAACGGAACAAGGAAGAGAACAATTAAAAAAAGATGTCACAGATTAAACTAAAGATAACACCAAAGTGGAGATATCTGGACGAGCCTCACCTCCTGGATTCGCCTGCGGGCCCGCTGCAGCACCTCCTCGTACCCCTTCTGTCGCAGCTCACTCAGGCTCTCATAATATTCTTCGGGGTCATCAGTTTCGGTGAAGAGCACCTGCGAAAGGATCTTCCAGCCACAGGTATCGAGACTGTGGACCAAGTAAACTTGCAGCTTGTAGCAGAGAGCGTCCATCTCCTGCTCAGATAGTTCCGGGGCTCCGAACAGCACCGTCCACATGCCCGAGGGCTCTTCGGGGAAGGCAGGTAGGTAGGGCTCCAGCTCCGAGTTAACCGAGCACAGCTGCTGGTGCACGGCCCGCAAGTCCTGGAAGGAGAAGAGGCCGGCCCAGCTGCACTCCTCCCCCACGGGCTCGGCGTCGGGAGCGCTCGGCTCGCCCGCCCGCGGGGGCGAGGCCGGCAGCGACAGCGCGGCGGCCGCGTCCTCCTTGCCCAGTTCCAACACCTCGATCTCCTCGGCTGTACCTGCCGCCTCCGGGCCGCGCTGCGGCCTCCGCGCCGGGCTGCACTTGGCGCGCATCGGGCTCCGGGGCAGCGCCTCGGCCCGGGGGTGGGCGCAGCCCCGGGGCGGCCCCGCGTCCCTGCGCGCCGCGGGGCCGCCGGCCTTGGGAGAGGCCGCGGCCTCGGGGCCGCCGCGGCGCAGCTCGCGGGAGCCGCTGCGCTGGCGCTGCGCCGTGCGGTTGTGGCAGGTGATGGCGAACTTGCCCTCGATCTCGTTCCAGGCCACGATGAAGGCGAACTTGTGCTTCTCCCGCTCCTGGAAGGCGTGCGGCCTGACGGCCACCCAGTCGGCCTCCAGCGTCTCCTCCAGGGCGAAGGCGGACATGGCGCCGCGCGGCTCCGCACACGGGCACACACCTCCCGCCCTCCGCGCTACCGTCCCGTCAGCCGACCCGCAGCCCCGCGCCGCCTCACCGCCCACTGCCAGCCATCTTAGCGGCCGGAGGGCGGGGGGGTTGCGATGGTTCCCACCGGAGCGGCGAGGGAAGAGCGGAGCAGCCTCGGCTTCTGCAGCCGCCCGCGGCCCCTCCGCTCCCCGCGCGCACAATGCCCGACGCCCCCGCGCAGGTACCGCGCGCGCGTCACGTGGGGCGGGATCTGTTTACAAGCGGTGGTGGCGCTACGGCCACTCCGCGCCGGCCCCGCCCCAGTGTGACCCGCGGCGGCCCCGCCCCCTCCGCCTCCTGCCCCCATTGGCGGAGCCGGGAGGGCGGGGCCCCGCGCGCGGCCCCGCCCCTCCGACGCCGAGCTGCCACGCTCGCGCTCCCGCGGTGGGCGGGGCAGGACGACGCCCCGCGCCTTCCCGAGGGACGCAAATGGAGCCGTGAGGGGACCGGGGAAAGTGGAGGGGCGAGACGGGTGTTTATTGGTGTTGTACGGCTTGCTTCTGTCCAGGGATTGCAGCAGAATAATTAAGAGTCGTTATCAGGACCGCTTGACGGCCAAGTCCGTGCAGTAGGAGTTTGCAGTTCTCTTTGGGCTGCGAAAGAGCGTAACTTTTGTTACATGACCTGGCGACCAAGGGCAAGCTCCCAGCAGTCTTGAGCAATTGCGTACTTCACAGCTGAAGTGAACCGCACTGAGACGTGGCCTTTTGTGCTCGCGTTGGCCAGCCCTCCTTTGGACTGCCGTGCGTTCCAAGGCTTCCAAGTTACAAAGCGCATAGGTTTCCGTGTGGCGGGACAGGCAACTCTCATAAGCTTGTCTCAAAGGAGTGATCAGTCACCAGTGATTCTGAGCTTAAGGGCCTGTTTCTTGGTGCTCTTTGGGTATCCCATTTCTTCCTATGTACGAATGGAAAACATGTTTCTTACTATAAGAGTCCCAAAGTATTTGCACCGAAATAAGACCTTTAGACAGTATGCATTGGCCCACGTGATGGGTGACCTTGGCTGGATGCCAGGTGCCTACCAGGCCACTTTATCACTCCCCTTCTCAGCTGGACAGGGGAGAGAAAATTAAATGGAAGTCAACTCATAGATTGGGATAAGGCAGTCTATTAAAGCAAAAGCAAAAGTGTGCATACACACAAGCAACGGAAAAAGACAAAGATTTTATTCTGTGCTTCCCATCAGCAAGTGATGTCTGGACACTTCCTGGGAAGCAAGGCTTCAGCACGCTTACCAGTTGTGCTGTAAGGTAAATGTTGTAAATAACAAATGGCCCCCCCTTCCTCCTCTTTCCTTAGCTTTTATATCTGAGCTGATGTCATATGGTAAGGAATACTCCTTTCATCAGTTTGGGTTAGCTGCCCTACTTGTCCCCTCCCAGAACCTTGCCCATTCCCAGCCTACTGGGGCAGGGGCAGAATGTTGGGGAAACAGCACTGATGCCGTGACAGCACTGCCCAGCAGCAGCCAAAACAGTGATGTGTCATCAACACCTTTCTAGCCACCAGTGCACAGCACAGCACTGTGAGGGCTACTGTGAGGAAATGAACTCCATCTCAGCCAGATCCAATAAAGCCCATCAATGATATTGTTGTCCTGCTCCAAAATAGAAGAAGCACTAGGGAAATAAAAAATTTTCATTTGCATTTGCCAGAAAAGCAAGAGTGAGTCACAGCCTTCCTCTAAAACATGCCGTCCTTCAAGGATGACGTGTTTGAGGAGGGATTCTGGCAGGTCCAACATTCTCTGGACATTAACAAAGCAATCTTATGTATACAGGAGAATGGAGGTCACCTCTGAAATACCCAAAGTCCTAGCTGTTAAAAAAAAAGAGGGAATTATGACTCAGCATCCAGAAGACAAACCATATCTCTTAAAATTAAAGGTGATGTATACTGTACATCTTGGAATGCAGCATTCTTTCCTATTACTATAAATCTTGGCATCAGATCAAAGCACCTGTGAAATGTTGTGAAAAGGATTTGATTATACCCCATGTAGAAGTGGCCAAGCAAGCAAGGGAAAAATACACTGGTGTAGAAAATATAGTATCTTTCTGCTAAGTATTCAGGGACGTCATGGAACCTCCCCCTCTGGAGGCATTCAAAACCCACCTGGACACGTTCCCATATTACCTACTCTAAGTGACCCTGCCTTGGCAGAGGGGTTTGACTAGGTGGTCTCCAAATGTCTCTTGTGACCCTAACTATTCTGTGATTCTGTGATTCTGCTAAAGAAACTTTTTGGAGATGAATGTAAGCAGCATCCCAATTTTTGTCTTTTGTAATGCAAGAAAGAAAAAACAATGGAGATGCAGCAATATATATCTCTCCTTATATCTCCACGCTTAAGAACATTTAACATGGATCCAAAATTTCTTATCAGGCAAAGGATAAGAGTCCTAGTATTTCAAGTACATTAGTGAAGAGGCTGAGGTCTTCAAAGTGGTATTAGCCTGACTGTCATTAGACTGTGGAGGGGCAAGCCAGTGTCATTTAAAGGATGGATTAGGTAAATGTACCATTTGGGAGCTGTCTAAAAACTGGGCTGAAAAAACACTCATCTACAATCAAGTTTCTGATGGGCCTCTTTTCAGGCAGCAGCAAAGTCATATAACGAGCTCTCTGTAGCTGTTATATTTTGCTAAAATTGTACCCATAGAGAAAAACCTGCAAGGAAATAGCAATTTCTTAAAATTACAGCATCAATAAGCACTGAGTAGCCTTCAGAGTAACTTCTGTATTAGGGGACATCCATAACTTGTCATTCATAAAAATACAAAGGACAGTCTTTTGAGATGTTGGTGAATAGTTCTTGAGTGTGGTTAAAGGAAATGCATCACTGATTTCTTCTGAATAAACAAGGAAAAAATTAAAATTGCATTCTAAAATACCTAAATTCCTTCTGACCACACCAGGGTTTGTGGTGGGGTGTTCACTTCAGTACTAAGCAGAAGTGAGTTAGGTAGCAGCCAATGCACCTGATTTGTTGATTCATCTGCTTTAGAAAGGTGACAGATTTGCAGCAACTGAAAGAACTACTGGAGCTGACTGGAGAGAAGGAACTGCCACCATGCTGCTACTGGACATGACACTTCAGTACATGAGGATCCTGCTACTATCATGGACACTGCGTGCATGAGAAGCCTGCCAACAGGGCTGGTGGAAGTACCAGTTACTTAGCTGACAAGTTGGATTATTATGTTTATAGATCCAAAGGTTTTTGAGAGCCACGAGAGTCCTGTCACTAGTGAGCCGAAATGTAAGGTTAGAAATTCAGTTGATGTCCTATTTCTTTGCAAGAAGTGGGTCAAGAACCAGAACTTTTAAGACAGGGAGTACTTTGAGTCATTGCTATCCTTGGGCAGTCTCCAAGCAGTTATATTTAATAAGATCTTGAATTAGTAAGTCAGTGAAGAGTAGGTGTGCAAACTTCCAGGAATTAACTTTGCTTTTTCTGCCTTCCAGTATGATCTCCCTGAGCCTGTATCTGCTGGTTTTCTGATATAATCTCAATTCAGGCCAGTGCTGGAAGAGCAGTGAAACTACAGAATCCAAATATGGCAGAAAAGGTAGCCTGCCTAGGCAGATCCATACATAATAAATGCAGAACCGGACTGGCAATGGGATGAAATACTGTGGAACTGCACATACATACTTAATGCATGTGTGTAAGGTGGATTGGTAATTGCTGGGTGTAAAAGTCTGGATGCTCTGTGGCTTGAATAACCTGAACCACTGCAAAGTGATCTCACCTGATGCTGCCTAAATTGTCTTCTGCATGCTAATGTTGTGAACAAGAGCAGAAATAGTCCTGTAAGTGTTTCTACAACCATTCCAACACCTAGTCTGTGACTCCTGCAGTGTCCTGCAGTTCTGAACTTAATTTATACCTGGCTGGATCTGAATACGTGAAACACCTTGGATAAACTCACTTTAGTACAAAACATTCTTGAGAAAGCAGATCTCATCTGTGAAGTCTAGTTTAAAGTTTGATCAATTTCAAACAACTGCTGTGGCAAGATGACTTCTGTCCAAACACAAGACTATAGAAGTCTCAGCTAACCAGCTACGCAATTCCTTTGAAAGTGGTGGGATATTTAATAGCATGTTTCAAAGTACCATAGCATCAGGAGTAGGTTTAGGTGTCCTGATGTTGCTGTTAAGAAAGAACACTGCTGACAGAAAGAACAATTTGGAGCTTTGATAAATGCAAATTTTTTTAAGTACTTGATTTTTGTCTGAAGTACAAAAATGCAAGAAATATTTCTAGCATAAAAAATATTTTTTGTTATGCTTAATATCTCAGAATTAAACAAGGTAGTTTTATCAAACAGTTTCCTGATATTCTTATTTGCTTTGAGGACAAGAGTGAAAAACTCCAGTCATAAGTCATTCCTGAGGAATCTCAAAATGCTGCTCTATAAAGAAGATGCCTTCTTGTTTCTGAATACAGTGTACTGAGCTATGCAGCAATATCAAGACTGTAGTGGAGCACTGGAAAATATTACTCAAGGAAAGAGGAAGCAATTATGTTTAGCCACATCTACAATTCAACTCAATCAAGAACATTTGCAACTAGGCAGGGTAGCCACAAACCACAGATTAACCATCAAGTTACAACAGATAAAATACCTACACAAATCTTAAAAAAAGAAAATTATAGTTCCTGTGGCAGTGAATACAGTCTGCCTCCTGATTAATCAGTGAAATGTATGACAAGAGAATAGTTGAGGTATTTTGAAGGTGTCATCCTCTCTATCCCTGATACCCTGTGATAGCCTGACAGTCCTCATCTCTCTGCAAGATCTCACCAGGTCTATGCTAAAATAATTTGAATGTGAAGTAAAAGATTTAGCTGAAGATATCTGGATTGCCTTTTGGATGAAAATAATTGGTTCAAGAGCACTTAACTTTTGGCCTCTGAATAGGGTTTTTGTGGGTGTTGGTGGTGGGAGCGTTGTGGGGAGTGGCTTCTGTGAAAATCTTCCCCTGTGCCTCATGGAGCTAGTGCCAGCTGGCTCCTAGACAGATCTGCTGCTGGCCAAGACCAAGCCCATCAGCAACAGGAGTAGCACCTCTGGAATAATATGTTTAAGAAGG